TTTGCACTGAAGTTAGGGGTATCACAGGACGGGTTCAGGTCGAACCCGAAATTAACCCGACACTATTCGGGTCAACCTAAACCCGACATGTTTTTGCAAATGAGTCGATTTTTCGGACCCGAACCTGACCCACTTCGGGTTCGGGTCAACCCGACACGACCAGAATGATCCAGGACCGTGAAAAAATTGCTAGTTTTCGGATAAAAAAAACGGGTCCGCATTTCGGGTCAAAATGGGTCGAAAACGGGTCAATCTCAGATTTTCGGGTCAAAACAGATTATCAGGTCAAAACCTGTCACTTTCGGGTCAAAGGGTAAACCCAAACCCGACCCGATTTTTTAAACGGGACGAATTGTTGAACACGAACCCGATCCGTTTCGGACCTAGGTTGGCCATAACCCGGAATTTTCGAGTCGGATTCGAATCGACTTTTCGAGTTGCTATTCAGTGGCCTGCAATGTGTTTTTAGAAAGACTAATATTATTAACTTAGAAGATGAAACAACTGATGCTGAAATTTTGAGCTACATGGAAGTTACAAATGAATATTTCAAGACTGTTTTTGAAACAAGCAAACCATCAGCATTACAAATGCTTAAAGAAGCACTCATGAATCGAGGTGCAGATTCCTTGAAGGCCATTCATTTGGACGCCTTTAACCTACAGGTGAGGGACTGAATCATTATTAGAACTAAGTTCCTTTGATAATTGTCTTTAAATTATCTAAGTCCAAACTCCAAAGTACTTTCGCAAGTATGAAGAACAGACTCCTGCCCTTCCTGAATGTTTTACTCAGAGTTTTGTTGATCATCTTCATAGAAAGTTTGATGGTTCTAAATTAGCTGCTATTCAGTGGCCTGCAATGTGTCTGTTGCAGCAGGTGCAAGGAATGGATCCACTAGGAGGCAAGAAACTTGGCATTTCACACTTGTTCAAGGTCCTCCAGGGACAGGTAAAACTAGGGGAGTCAATTTCGGGTCACAACCATGAACCCGAAACTGACCCGGCACTATTCGGGTCAGCCCGAGCCCAACCCATTTTTGCAAACAGGTTGATTTTTTGGACCCGAATCCGACCCGCTTCGAGTCCGGGTCAACTCGATATGACACGACATGACCCAGGGTTGTGAAAAAATTGTTAGTTTTTGGGTCAAAAAACGGGTCAATCTCCTCTTTTCGGGTCAAAACTGGTCGAAAACGGTCAATCTCGGGTTTTTGGATAAAAACGAGATAATTTCGGGTCAAATGGTTTACCCGAATCAGACCCAATTTTTGAAACATGTCGAATTGTTGAACCCGAACCCGACCCGTTTTGAATCCGAGTTGACCCTAATCCGGAATTTTCGGATCGAATTTGAGTCGAATTTTTGGATCGTATCAAATATTGACAACCCTAGATAAAACACACATGGACTAAGGCCTGCTAAATGTGATACATCTCTAGTGCAGTTACAACATTATCATGCTGCTTTGCTCAAGAAACTAGCCCCCAGAGAGCTACAAGCAGCTGAACATTATTGATTCAGAGACGGGGAAAGTAGCACATATTGTAGTATATCATTATTCAAGTCAGCACAAAATATGGGTTTTATTGTAATTTTTTTGTAGTAAATTGATTTTATATTTGTGAAGGTTGAAGAAGTTTATTTTAGATGGTGAAAGGTTGAAATATTATGTAATTTTAGATTTATAAAGTAAACTTACTTTTTAATTGACAAAAAAAAGCTTATGTAAGTTCCCATTTGTATAATTTTTAGATATTTGAGTGGAGATTGATTATTGGTAATTAAAATAGTATAATATATTATAAATAATTGATAATTGAATCTAATGTGTATTGGATAAAATATATTTTGAGGCACCTAATATGTCATTTTCTTAATGTTATTTCATTCAATTAAAGTGTTGGGAAATCACACATTTTAGGGAAATTTAATTATGATTAATTATTAAATATCTTACATCACCATGATGTATTAAGAATGCTCAATATTTATAGTATTTATCCACTTTTTTCATCAAATTAATGTGTTACAAAAGCTAGCATGTTAGGGTACCTTAAGGCTGTCATTTGGATATTAATCCATCAAATTCATGTGTCAAGGAAGGTTAGTTGTTAGGGCATATAAAGGTGCCCTTAACCCTATGCCAACTTCCACTTAAACGACACCATTGTAAGATGTACTAATATATCATGTGACATAATAGGTACATATTAGGGCACTTTAATATGCCATAATAGCTAGTATTTTTTGTAGTGAGGGGGGTGGGCCGACTGGCTTTCCTTTAAATAAAATTTATGGTGTAATCATCGGTGATATGATAAGGGAGGTACAAGACGACTGACTGATATGATATAATACATCAATGAGCAAGAAGTTGTGACTTCCTATATGAAAGCTATCTAACTTATGATATGAGATATAAGATTGATTCCTGAAAATATGACTAATGTGATTGAGTATGATTCATATGTAGGGTTGGTGTACAAGACTTGATACGGAAAAAATATCATAGATAGTCAGATGTCCTATCTTGCTTGTATATACATATGAAATGATAAATTATATAAGTGACATGAAATAATATGATTTGCTCATGATATAGGACATGACTGATACATGCACGTGATATGAATAATAAGATTTGATATAAGAGAATATAATACACATGAAATACATGATATACATGCTGTATTGCATTTGATAGAAATACATGATATATATGCAGTGATACTTGATTTTGTACGACGACATACATAGAACATATATTTTCTTGCATAATATGAAAGTTATACTCGTACACGTAATGTGGCTTATAAATTGAGATAATAGTCATAATTTATATGAATGACAAAATCTACTAATCCTCTATATGACCATTGATCATTGATCTATATTGCTCGTATGAAACGATAATGTTCACTATTCATATTGAATGCTACATATTTATATATTATATTGATATGGATTGAATGATTACATGCATATTATTTTCTACTATCGTGTTTTAGTTTTAGTTGTAGGTTTTGATTACATATTGAGCTATTAGCTCACTCCACGGTTTTACATGTTTTCTTAAAGGGGTTGCCATGCCCCAAAATTAAATTTGAAAGAATTATTTTTATTATCATTTATAATTTATAACAACGAACTCCAAAGCTATTTAATCTCTTTTATCAATAATATAAACTAGCAGTAAAAATTATTCTATTGATCAAAATACCAAAATACATCTATATTCATACTCCATAAATTATATAGAATAGTTAGGAGTTGCACAATCATATCATACAAACTTTCTGCTCCTGATTACAAAAGAACAACTAAATAAAATAATTAAAAAATATTTTGAGGGATCCTGTAACTGCTCAGTCATACACTCAGCCCTGTTTGGGGGATCTTGTAACTGCTCAGACAATAAATTCATGAAATGCAATAAATTCAATTTAAAAGAAGTCAGACGGTCAAAATCAAAATATTTAAAAACAAAGCTAAGATAACAATCATGTATCAATCTGAACAATTTTAGTACAAATGTCTAAATGGATTGGCGAACAAAATATCCTCTCTCTCTCTCTCTCTCTCTCTCTCTTTCTCTCTCTCTCTCTCTCTCTCTCCTTCCACGACAATTCATAGCGTAATGGGCAAGGGAGAGGGGTGGTGAGTGGAGAAAGTATAT